GTGACTTCACAACAGCCCAGAACACCTTTTGATCCATGTTTCTCTGCCTTTTCTACCAGAATCAAAAGCACTGAGCCTCAAAGCCCCTCGTGGGCCACAGGTCACTCTGGGCTGTGCACTAGCTCAATATTGGAGCTCCCCAATATTTAAATTCCTTCAGCAGAAGCTTCTTCCTCTGCAGAAAATGCCCTCTCAACCACCTGCCCTGGCACAGCTCCCCAGGCTGCCACATGAGGAACACACCAGGTTAATCCAGCCCTGCCATGTGGATCCCATCTGCCCCAAAGCACATCCCAAGCACTAATGGGATTCTCTTGGGGACATGACTCTGGAGAAAGGAGTTTGTCAGTGCCTGGACTTTCTTGCCCAGTAAATCCACCCAGGGCAGTGCGCTTGACTAGCACCCCACAGTGGAGGAGGGCAACACCCAGTGAGCTCGGGGAAGAAGGTGTTGTAAGGAAAGCCGAACTCACCTCAGCCCCAGGGAGGCTGTGGGGTAACCTTGGGTTGAGATGAGACATCTGCACCAGTGAATTGTCAGCTGTCCTGAGCCAATTAATGATCACATCTTCCTGAGAGAGCTACACCAACATGGCAGGAATACAACACAGCTGAGCCCAAAGTGTAACAACTGGACAATTTTACTTTACAAATTTACTTTAAAAAAGTAAATTTTGAAGGAAGCAAAGCAGGCTTCAAACTGTGTACTCCTTCCTGAGCACACAGAGACCAGGAAGAGGCACCTGGATTTGGATCCATCCATACACTGCCATCATTGTGTTCAGCTTCTGCTGTGATTTCAGCATGTTGCTGATCAATCAGACTCCCACCTAACACCAAACGAGTCAGCTGGATTTTACACCCTCCTCGTGTGGAACAAGAGCTTGGCCAGAGCTCGTTGAACTCCGACAGCCAGGAAGGCAGCACTGTCACACACAGCCTGGGAAACCCATCCTGGCAATCAGCCCTCCTCCTAAAGACTCACCCTAGATGGCTCAGACTATTTTTCCTCAGCTCTGAAATGCTGAAAACACTGCTCTAAGAACAGATTTGTGCCTTGTCTAGAGCTCCACACAATTTTCCACTCTGCCCTCATCGAGGTGTGCACCACAGCACTGAAAGCCTCCAAGCCAAACACCCAGAATCCCTGTCACTGACACCTTGGCCTCCTGCCATGAAGGAGCAGGATTTGAAACAGTCCCCAAAAGGATATTAAAAGGTGAGAAGGCAAAATGTAGTTCTACCTGTGTAGCAAGCAGTGTTATTTATTAGAAATAAAGAACACTTACTGTTAGTGAAAATCCTTTTATACCCCTGATCTTCTGCACACTCGGAGCTGGACTTGTCAGACTTCCAGCAGCAGAAATCATTAATGTTTTGTATGTGGGTCACTTTCTGGGCTGTTCTTTCACCTTACAGCTCTGGAAACATTACTGGAGCCGTGGATTTCACAGGAGCCAGTCCCCAAAGGAAGTGTCTCTAAAGCACACTGCACAAGGCCTGGCTTCCTGCTGCCCCAGATACAGCAATTCCTCTGGGGAATGGCAAACAAGAATCTCTAAGAAGGTTTTGCTGTTAAATCTTTTCTTGTTAAGACGAGGAAGGGAAAATCTGCTTTGTGACAGTGGCACTGTGGGGAGTCCAAACCCAAGGGTCACAAAAGAGGCACACTGGCAACAAGATCCTGGCTGGAGGGAACATTTAATACACAGCAAGTTCCCTCTTCCTGCAAAAAAACCAAAAAACAAAAAATCCCCAAACAATCCATCACACCTGCAGGCCTGCTGCCCTTTCTGAATTAGAATAAACAGGCACACAGAAAATGTAGTGACTGAAAACCCAGCGAGAAATGCAGCCTACAAACCCCTGGGGAAGGGAATTTGAGACTGCCTCCATTTCCTGCACACTGTCCTCATTATGGAGCAGCATCTACGAAACCCAGCCCCTCCACCTACACCCTCACAGGAGACACCAACACAACTGCCCAGAAGTTACTGCAAACAAGGGGCTTTCAAATAAAATACATTTTGAAAAAGCTTGAAAAGAACATTCCTTCCTCAGTTGTCAGACAAGTGCCCCAAAGCCAACACCTCTCCAAGATCCCAAGTTTAAAATGTGAGCCAAAATGGGTTCCTTTCCTTTCCTTTTCCCAGCATGAGACTCTCACGTTCAACTCAAAAATTCCACTGCTGCTGTTTTAAACTAACAGCATTTAAAATGGATTCTGGCACAGCTGTCTGCTCTGACAGCACAGCAATAAGCTGAGAAGCAGAAATTAAAAACTTTATTAAGAGTTGATGTTGGAAAACTGAGCAGCTCCTGTTCCTCCCTCTCTGCAGGGTGGAAGGTGGGTGGGGGGACAGCTCAAAAGGAGTCTTTTAGCAACACTGTGCACTGAAGCCCCAGACCTGCTGTGACAGGTCAGACCCAGGAAGGGAGGAGTGATCCCACTCTGCAGTGGTTTTGGAGAGCTCTTGGCTTGCCAGCTTGTAGACAAGGTGCAGATCTAAGGCAGATCTTTTCTGCCGTCACCCTGAACAGCAATTGGTTCTTTAAAAGCACCTGAACACGTCAGGGAAGGGAATCCCTGCCCAGCCCAGCAGCCTGGGAGCCTCAGGAAGGCAGAGCTGCAGGATTCCTGAATCAGCCCTGCCAGGAAGTGCCTGAGCTGGCCCCTGCCGTTCCTCAGGTATTTACAGCAGTGCTGGCACCCTGAGTCAGCCTCTGCAGGCTCAGCTTCACCTCTCACTCCATGAATTACACTGGGAGTGGCTGGGGTGGGGGCCAGAGAGGGACAAAGGAGGCAGGAAATGAGAGAATGGCTTTTGGGGTGGCAGGACCAGCTCAAACCAGCTGGCAGGCTCTGAGCCCAGCACTGACTCACAGACCGCACTGGCCCAAGCCCTGTACTCAGAACACCCCCAAAAAACCCCATCCCCACATGCAAATAAAGATCAACCTTACTGGCAAAGAATTAACACCAGACATGAGAGAAGCACCAGACTTTGGTAATAAAAATAAATGCACGTGCTCTGTCAAAGGCTCTTTGGCTAAAGAGCATTTTCTAAATTCCACTGGCAGCTCCCACAATGTTTCACCACACCCACCTCCAGTGTGGATAGTAGTGATAGGAGTCAGGATGACTGACACTGGTTTAGGAAAAGAAGTGAAAATTAAGAATGCCACAGGTTTTAAGAGGCATTCACAGCACAGCCACTTCCCAAGGAGTCAGACACGAGAAGTCAATTTGCCTTAAGCTCATCAAACAATCTGCTGAGAGAAAGAGCAGCAGCTTCAAAGAGCAAAAATACATTGTCAGCACCACCAGCAAATGGTTCTTCCTTTGCCACCAGGTGTGGAAACACTAATTAGAGCAGTTTACAAGATGTAACAGAATTACTTTTTAACCTGCCAGAGAAAACCTTCTGCTGTAAAAGCCTGGTCCCTGTCACTGCTGCTGAGGGGGCGAGGCTGCTCAGGTTTGTCTGGTAAATGAGCTCACACATTAATTACCACACACTGGACAGATCCAGCAGCTGGGTTTGGGGTTTTTTTTGGTTTGTTTTCTTTTTCACCTCACTTGTGAGACACCTGCTAGAGTTCATTCCAACAGACAATTGGATAATCTGAAAACACACCATGCTCTAGTGCTCCAAAATGCTCCCAAGTGTCCTCCATAAAGACTTCTGAGGATACTAACCTGGACTAAGGAGAGTCTGAGGCAGATTAAAAGAAATTAATTACAGGAATTAATTAGATTAAAATCATTTAGGATGAGTCCACAGTGAAAAGAGAGTCCATTCAGCAGGTTCATAACAACTGGATGGAAGGGGAGAGGAACAGAAATGCAAAAGTGGCTGAAGATCCTTTGGGACAGGCACAGATCTGCAGGAAGGTGAAATCTAAAGCTACTGGCAGCTGCAGAAAGCTCCCACAATGCCAAAAGCCAAGTAAACTATAAACTGGTAGATTAAAAAAAGGACTGGAGCTTGAAGAAATGCAAAATTTGTGTTGAGCACCACAAGGGGGAAAGCATCCACGCTCAGTGAGAACATCTCTGGCCCAGCAGCAAAGCAGGACACCGGGAATCAGCAGAACACAGAGGGGCAAGATCCATCTAAAGGAGCCTGGTCTGAGGTAGGTGCAGATATTTAATGTCCCCGTGTCTGTGAATTGCACACCAGAGGGGAAGGAAAGGTGGCCAAGGGTCAGGAGCTCGGCAAGATCACCCAGAGCGGGCTGGGAGCTGCTGCAGCGCAGCAAAGTCGGGAAAAACCAGCAGGCACCGAGAGGCCGAGCTCACACTCAACACGGCACCGCAGTGAAACACTCAGGCGGCGAGCAGGGGGACACGAAACTCGTGCGATGCCCGTAACCCCGAGCGGATTGCCCGCGACACGTTCAACTCCCGGCTGGACACAGCAACGCCGGCGGCCTCCGCACACCGCTCCAACACAGCCAGCCGCCAGCAAACAAACCGCAGCGAGCCCGAGCGGCCCCGGCCTGCCCGCGGGAACACCGGCCTGCCCCCGGGAACACCGGCCCGAGCGGCCCCGGCCTGGCCCCGGGAACACCGGCCTGCCCCCGGGAACACCGGCCCGAGCGGCCCCGGCCTGCCCGCGGGAACACCGGCCTGCCCGCGGGAACACCGGCCCGAGCGGCCCCGGCCTGCCCGCGGGAACACCGGCCCGAGCGGCCCCGGCCTGCCCCCGGGAACACCGGGCCCGGGGCACGCGGATTCCGCCCTTCCCTGGGGAATCCGGCCGCGAAGGAGCAGGAAACGGGGACGGACGCAGGCGATGACAATGGCACCCAGCTCTGCGTTACCGGGAAGGACGGGAGCACAGCCCCAGGGCCCGGACTCGCCGCGACCTACGGGCGGGGGAGCCGGGTTGCCATGGCAACTGCGCGGGGCCCGGCCCGCCCCGGGAGAAATCGCCATGACGACGCCAGCCCCCTTCCCCAGCACAGAGACGCCCCCCAAACTCTTCCCCGCTCACCTGGGAGGGGCGGCGGACGCGCCCTCAGCACATCCCGGGCGGCGGAACCGGACGGAGGAGCGCCGGGCACGGACACCGGCGGCACTTCCTCAACCGGGCACCGCGCAGTAACGCGCCTCCCCATTGGCTGGCCGCAGGGCACGTGGCCACGGGCGCCGCGCATGCGCATAGAGGCGCGGCGGTCTCCTGAAGCCACGCGGGCGGCGCCGCGAGGGGAACGCGGTCGGTAATTAAGGGAGGGGTAATTAAAGGAGGGGTGATTAAGGGAGCGTCCTTGAGCGCAGGCGCTTGGGGAACAGGAGGTCACGCCCCTGGGTCACCTGGCCGGAAGTTTCCCTCAGTCCTGCAAAGGGATAGGAGGCAGAAGTGTCGTACAGTGTAAGGACTCGATGCCATTCGTGGTTCTAATCCTCAAGTCAGAAGTTCTTAAGGGTTTTTCCTTGTTGTTGAGGCGCCAAAAAGCGAGATGAGTCAGGATGCTTCAGTCGGAAAGCACCTACAAGGATTGCCTAGTCCAAGTGCCTGACCAAAAGTTCAAGGTCCTATTTTTATGACGGGTTCAGCTGAACTGGAGGCTGACTAGGGGATCTGCAGAGCTCCCTTCCAACCCTAACGACTCCATGATAATTATTAACCTTCCACTTCCACAGTCTCCTTCCAGCTGTTCCATTTAAATCAGATTTTCCCACCTTAATTTGCCCTTTTTGTTGCAGCCAGTGTGGAACCACAGGTGCCACATCTCCCCTCACAGGACAGCAGCAGAGGTCACTGTCACCCCTCTGAAGTGTAGGAAGAGCCCCTTTTTTCCTGCTTCTTCATCCTGCAGAGGGGGCTCAGACAAGCACAGCGGGACAGCAGAGGGGCTGGACACCACCAGGATGATTCCATGCATTCCCATGCTGCACTCAGAGCTGGCCAGCACAGCACTGCCAGCTCTTGGCCAGTTTTCCAGCATTAACCAAACACCCCACATCTCACCCCACATCCTCAAGAAGCACCGAGTGAGGTGTACAGGGCATTTCCCCAGCAGGGAGATCGATGGCTCACTGCAGCCCCAGGTGGGTTTTGTCCCCACCCCAGCACAGGCCTGACAAATTGGGCCTTCTAATCACTGAAAGAGAAGAATCCAACTGTTTGAAATTGTTCTAATTGTTCGAAAAAGAAAGCAGCAGATTTCTTTTATGCTTCTTAAATTGTTTCCTTTAATAGGAAGTGCTGCTTTACTCTACCTTGTGCTTCAGAAACAAACGTTTGCCTTTCCAAAAATATACAGTGTACACATACTCTGTAGCTATAGATACAAACATTTACAAAGAAACAAGCAGGCTGGAGTGGAATAGCTTGGAAAAAAAAAAATCACGCAAGGCCTTCCCTTCTGGCCCTCCCTCAGGCAGAGCAGCCGGGCTCACCCTGCTGCAGACAGCCCCGGGCTGCTGCAGAACGCCTTTGAGGAGCACCAAAGGAGCTTCCACACGCCGCAGAGGTTTGGAGTCGATGTTTCCCGTCGCCGTGCCCCGGTTTTGTCCCGGGGTCCGCATCCCACGCCCAGCCCCAGCGCGGCCCGAGGGCGCGGGCGGAGCTCGGCCGAGGCGCTTCCCGGGCCTTTGCGTTTTGTCTCTGGGGCTTCCCGGCGCTCGGGGAAGCCGGGGCACAGCCGGGCTAGCGGATGGGCCGGTAGGGGAAGCTCACGCCCGGGAGGAAGGTCTGCACGGGGTGCGCGGGCAGCGCGGGGTAGCCCAGCGGAGGCGTGTGGATGTGCGGGTAGAAGCCCGGCGGCAGCGCCCCGTGCGCCGGCTGCTGCACCGGGCCCGAAATCACCAGCTGCAGCAGGCTGCGGGAGGAAAGCCACACAGAGGCAGGTGATTAGAGCAGCTTTTGTCCTGGCTCTAAGGACAAGTCACGTCCAACTCGCAGCGCTGCTGAGAGCCAGGAGAGCGGTGACACAATTCTGTTCTTTACAGCTTCAGGAGACTTTTTTCCTCCCTTCCCCCCCGCCCCTTTTTAAAGCCCTGCTCTTTTTGCAAAAAGGCAAGAAGCAATTGCCAAGGCGAGAGCTTAGAGTCGGGTAAAACCAGTGGGGAATTAGAGATGGGACAGTTTAAGGGCAGGTTCCTTGCTGGAATTCCATTTCCCTGTCCTGTGGTTTTGTTCTAACACACACTGGGAAAGATCACCCACAGGTGGGAGCAGTGAAGCCCCTTTCTGTCAGGAACCCAGGGAAGAAGCAGCCAGCACTGTCTCACCCTCATCCTCGTGCTAAAGTGCACACGAACAAAGGCCAAATTCCACAAGGACAAATTTTTAGAGGAAATTTTGTCTCAGAAGCCCTCGAGTGTCTTGGAACATGCATCAAAGCCAACACAGCTGCAAAAAGTCTCTTACTTGTTATGTGGTAGCCTGGAGCACACAGTCCTCAAGTCATCTGAAAGAGGACACAACATTAAAAATAAGAATAAAACAGAAATTAGAGTGGTTTTCTCTCTGCTGTCCTTTCTAGGAAGGTCAGATTACTGAATAATAATTAATTTTACTGATTAATTACTGATTACTGAATCTGTCAGTAATCTGTCATCATCATGAGTCAACAGGAAATCAAGAATCCCTCTCTCAGGCCCAAAACCTTCATAGGAGAGAAAATGTTTCTCCATTTCACCAGCTCTCCCCACCAGCCCCTTTATTGTTATTTATGTTTGACATTTAAGACAGAGAAGCCTCAGGATGGATTTTGCAATACCAATACATCAACAAGAAGTAACTGAGACACAGGAAGGACAAGGTGTGACTCTGCCCAGTACCTGGTTTGTATTGCTTTTGGGTTTTTTAACCACTGCTACTGTAAAGTATGGATTGGGGTTTTCTTGCTGGAATCTATCAACTAGAAATTGCACATTTTTTGCCATCTCCAAACTTCTGCTAAAGCAGAATACTAGAACCAAGGAATCTAACAACATATCCCCTTGATGAAGCTTAAGAACAAGCTCCTGCCTTTGTAGACACACACAACCCCAAAACACTGAAGTATCTGGTATTTCAGCAGCCCCTTACACTGAATTACCTTCCACAGAAAGAGCAAGTGCTCAGAATGTTCCAGCTAAGAACAAACACAGCAGAAATCAGCCCTCAGATCAAAAACCTCTGACTTGTCTTTGTTCTTATAACACTCCGAGTTACTTTATAAAAAGATGATGAAGAACATTGAAAATTGACCAGCAGCACTGGTCCAGCCAGGACAAAAGCATCAGATCCCTGCTTAGGCAGAGACAGCTGTGGTCTGCACTTAATACCCCAGCTGTTGGAGAGCTTCAAGCCCTCTGGTATAACCTAAAATTGTCTGGTTTTAAGAGAATATCACAAGAAAAGACTGTGTGTGGCTGACCCTGCCCTGTGTTGGGCCACTTCCCTTTTATCTCTCTGCATGTCTTTTGGGAAGAAGTGGCTTTGGAGACAGGAAAGCCAGACAAAAGCCACGTTAGCAGCCCTTTTTTACTGAGTTTAGCTGAATTTGGACACCCTGTAATGGGGTCTCATTATAGGTGAGCTGAAGTCCCAGAAGTTTCAGTTGAAGAGGTATTATTTGCTTTCAAATTCTTTGTCTAGCACACCCACCCAGGGGTTTATGTGCTTCATGGCCTCTCCTCAGCAGGCAAACTGAGAGAACTTAAACTGAAGAAAATCAAACAGTGCTTTTTAAATAGCTACAGGCAATTCTGAGGGGAACAAAGTGTCCCCATGTCAGACACCCAGATACAACCCCTGGTGCACAGTGCAGGGCTGTGGATCAGTCCCCACTCTGCAAAGCAATGCCTGACCCACCCACAGCAGTGATCTCTCCTTTCTTACTCTCCATCCAGATATTTTTCCTGAACTATTTTGTGCACTATCACTTTCTAACAGGGGGAAACTACTGTATATGCTGTGAACACCTTGATCTTTACTTTCCCTCACCCCAAAACTGCCTCTTACAACTTCTGGAGGAGAAGAATCCCCTGCCAGGTCTCTGCCAGCCCCACAGACAACTCACCTCTGGTGCACAGGAGAGCTCCTGATGCCATGGCCACTTGCAAAGCCTGAGCCAGCCTGTCCAGAGCAAGTTCAATCTCTTTGGATGCATTGAGAGGATTGAGTTCATCAGACAGTCTGTTAATGTCCTCCACCAGAGGAACCACGTGGTCAAAGGGTACCAGCCCCAGGCGCCCATAAAGGTTTTTCTCTGTCAGATGCCCCTGGAGCATCATAAGAACCTGCAGGACACTCAGATGCAGCTTGGAGTACAGCTGGTGGCAATCCCCGTCTTCTCCTGAAGCGGAGTCCTTGGCAATTTTGTTGGGAGCGTGTCCATTGGAGAGAGAGGCTTTCTTCTTCCTCTTGTAGGCCAGGGGAGCCTTGACGCACCAGCGGATGAGGCCGGTGAGCGGGGCGAGCTCCAGGAAGCCCATGGGCAGGCTGGCTGCGATGGGAGTGTTCAGGAAGGTGATGAGGATCAAGCGAGGGTCCTCAAAGATCCACGAGACAATCAGCTCCAGCAGGTCCGAGGGAGGGATGAGGTCATCTGCAGACAGGAGAGTTCATGCTGGGTAAGCTGAGCCTTTATTACTTTGTTTATTACTTTAGTTCAGGTGCTAATTAGTCTCTCACACACACCCATGCTACAGTGTCCCAATTACAATTTCTGAACTCCCCAGTTCTGCTGTTTTTCCCAAGACACCAAAGGTAATTTGTTCCAGGACACAACCATGTTCCTGTCACCTTCCCCACCTATTCCAAAGACACCACCAAACACTGATAGGTTATCCCCTTCCCCAGCAAAGATTCTCTTGTCATTTTCTTCTCTGCCACCCATCACCTGCTCATTTTTTCCCTAATTTAAGTCTCCATTTATCCCTTGCCACAGGAAGTACAATGGGCAAGGGAAATAGGAAAAGCTTGTTGGCTGAAGAGAAGGAAGTGCCAATAACTTAACTCATTTAATACTTACTTACCTAAACAAACGTGTCTTGTGGAAAAACACAATGCAACAACACAATTACATGACATATAAAGAATTATAAGATTATGTAAAGCTTCAGGTGAGAAGTGAAAGATGGTCATGAACTTGACTACAGACAAGAGAAACCCTGACACATCA